ATAGGAACGGAATAGTGCATGCAGGCCCAGGCAGAACAAAAAAAAGACAAAAAGAGAAAAGCCAGAGAAGTGAGAGAGAGAGCCAGCCAGTCTAAACAACCCAACCCCAAACAACTTTTCCCGAACTTGATTAGGGGCCCCCCGGTTTATTCTGATCCCAGACTTGTTGGGGGGGGGCTTTATAATCAGAACCCCCCATTATCTCAGGTACCCAGGACCATACTTCTGCTGACCATGAACTTCCGGTAATCCCTTGCATTCCAAAGGTCCTCACTCCCCCAATCCAGAACCTTCATTTCCCAACAGACTACTGAGAGGTTCCGTGTGGACCGGGACCCCACTGTATTGTGGTTCTTGTTCTGGGGACCCCCAAATTGGCCCTCCTAATCTTCTGGAAGCCCCTCATACCGGAACAGAGAATCGTCCCAGAAGCGATGGGCCACGGAGATCATAGTGCTTCTCTCTGGAACGCTCCCGGATCCTGAAGCCAACTTGGCAGCTATGACTATCTTTGCCAACACTTGCGCGTAGCTTGGCTTGTAAGCAGGGATGATCGCCAGACCTGTGCTGGCAATAAATGTTGGTCAAAGTTTGGTATCTACTCAGATAGGTATGTGTTTCATGTTACTCTAGGTTGGTCTTTGACTTCATGCGTACCTGGGGGATGTTGTCTCCGCATTAGTCCTGTCCTTCGAGCCCTCAGCACTATAAACAGCTCTGAAAGCACCATGGCCTTCTCTCGGATGAACGTGCACCTGTGGCGTTTTGTCACAGGCAAGCAGTGCTTCATTTCAAGTGCATCCCAGCTATAACTATTCTCAACTCTTTTTGTCAAAGTACAAGCATAATAATCCTTGCCCGGGCTGTCTTTTTCTAAGCTCACTTGTGATGTTTTCACATGCCCACGAGCACGCAATGACTTGATTCCCTGTCCAGCGCTCCACGTCTTCGTGAACATCAGGATTTTGCAGGTGAAAGCTGAGATATGGATGTGGAATGTTTGTAGTGTGGAGGCTATATGGGGGTTTAGGGTCTAGGGTGGGATGGAAGCTCTACGACCAAAACCCTGTGCCTCAAATTCTGCAGTCCTTAGCGTGCCGGATAGAGACCTAGGCGGCCTGCCAATCCACTGATACTTCCCTGCATACCCTAAATCCTAAACCCTGAGTGAAACAGGTGCCTTTAACAAGAAAAAGTAAACCCCATATCCCATAGCACCCCACCTATGGGCCTGGCAGCCAGGGCTCAAATGAGAGTTCACAAAATACTCCTAGTTGAATCCGTGAGCTACTTATGACTTATGATTCAGTGCGTTCCAGGCTCCTAAGGGCAGGCCCCCGTTGTTTGAAGGGTTTAGGGTGTTTAGGATTAAGGGCTTAGTTCCCCCACCCACCTAAGGGGTCAAGTACTCAAGAAGCACATGCTTATCCCAAACATGTACAATGATCAGTATTACCTTACTCCCAAGTACCTACGTACTGGGTACTTGGACAACCCTAAACCCTAACCCCCCCAAGGCAAAGTCCTGGAGCTTAGGATCCTTTCAATGCCGCCGTTGAGCTTGGGATGTGCGGGGACCGGGTCTTTCTGGTTTTGGGTGGGAGGAAGCTGAGTTGTTTTGTTGGGGATTGAGGGCGCATGGGTTCAGGCTTTTGATTCGGGCTAAGGCTAAACTTCAAGATGCGTTTTGGGCTTTGAGGGTTTTGGGCTAAAGGGTTTGCAGGGTTGAGGGATTCAGGGTTTGGGGTCTGTTCGTTGGGCTGGTGTTTGGGGTGAGCAGAGCTTCAGGTTTGTGCACAACATCTGCCGTAGCTAATCCCGTGCCACTAGTACTGTACTGACCCTCCCCATCCCCTAATAATGAACATCCCCGCACAATATCATGTTAGCATATTGTGGGTATTTGCTGTTAGGGGGTGGGGGGCGTCTTATCAGAGGGAGGAGACTAACAGTTCCTCTAAAAGATGCCCGGGTTTTGTATTGGGTCCATGATGGACCTATATAACCACAGAATACCCTCATATAACCCGATTATATACCCTATAAACCCTCTTTAACATAGGGGATGCAAGAACCCCACAAGAATTGGAAGTTAGACGGACCGAGAGGACCACCCTTGACATTAGGGTCAAATTGAGGCTATATTGGGATAATGGAAAAGAAGATGGAAACAACTATTTGGGGTTTCAGGCTTTAGGCACAATACCTGGACTTCCAAGGTAGGTAAACCAATGGCCCCAACCTATGCGAAAAGGTCCAGCAGCCAATTATTCTACGTACCTTACGTGTCCAGTTGTCCGGTGTCCCCATGTCCACTTTTCGTTTGTCTTGGGATTCTTAGGAAGCAAATGGTTTCAGCCACGGACATGCTGAACAGCTGTAGGGTTTAGGGCTTACCTCGTTTAAGGCTTACAAGAGTTCAGGGTTGAGGGTTTAAGGTTTGGGGGTTACCCGCTCCCCACCCTCAGTTCAGCATCGAACCCTGAGGCAACCCCGCCCTGCATCTCAGAACCCTGCCTCATACTCTATATGAGCTATAGTCTAAACTCCTGTGGTTGGATGTATCTCAACATATAAGGTCCTAACCATGGCAATTTGAGCCTTGGTTGGGCTTGCAGGGGTTTATAGGGTATAGAATATGTGTAGAAGGACCCCAGGATTAAAGGCCCATACTAGAGACCCATTTGAAACCTGAGCCTCAGACAGAAAGGAATTACAAAAGCAGGAACACGCGCGTCAGCAACGAGCTGGGTGCGGGGTGTCCCTGGGCGGCGCACTTCGCGGCTAAGGTCAACTACAGGCGTGGCCGGGAAAGCGTCCACGCATTTTTGCGGTCCATTTTGGGGCTGCCTATAGTAGTCTTCCTAAACCCTAAACCGTAATTGAATGAGAGCCCAGAAAGATAGATTCAAATGGAGGGACCTTGTTCTAATACAGTCTCCCATTTGGGGGGCTTCTCAAAACAGGGGTATGTCAGGGATTGTAAGAGGTTGCCGGGGTGCCCCATAGCAGGGATTATGTAGCTAATGTATTGAACAACTTCCCTGTCAGTTTATAACTCAAAAGGGCTGAGGCGCGTTAATCAAACTTCAACTTCTGAGTAGAAAGGCAGCTATGGGGTTGTGGGCTTCCGGTTACAGGCTGTGGGATGCCAAATGCAGCTAGCTCCCAACTTAGAGCAACCTACTGATATGTCCTTCCTCTGCGCTCTAAACGCGATGCTTTGATCATTTCAGGCGCGGGCTTCACAAACCCTCCTTCAAAATACCTGTCTGCCGAACTGTAGCTCTTTGACTCTGCTGTCTTCCAACCCTATGAACCCTAAATAATTCCTACACGTACCTCCGTCCCTAAACCCTACAATGGGCTATAGGCCCCAACTGGATACTTGCTTGGACCCGCAGTTTGGGGCTTTGCCTGGCGTCCTTTTTGTCTGCGGTGATGCTAACGGGGCGATGCTTCTGGCTCCACCTGATCACGCGCGAGAAGGAGGCCGTTCACATAGCTTGATTGGGGTCCTATAGATCTTTACCAGGTTTTATGATGGCTGTATGGGGCATACAGGTTTCGAGAGGGTTCAATAGCGTTCAAATTCTAGCTGTTGACCATGTGTTTTTTTCAATGTTTAGTAAAGCTTGATGTTTATCGCATAGCCTGCAAGGCATTGAAGAACCTCTGCCTAGTAGCTTTCCCCGATCCCTTTTGTTAGGGAAAGATTCCACACCACGGTCGGTATCCGAGTATCTTGGATCTGTAGGACGTTCAATGTATCCCAGGTAGCGCATGATTTCCCTGGCTAATCGTGTCTCTGCACATCCTCTTAGAAGGGGTTGCTTTGGTCTCAGTGCTTGGACCTCTGCAGTTGGCGTAAAGGCCTGAATAATTTGGAAGCTCACCTTGATCCACCTCATTTTGCATTATGGCTAGCAGTATGTTCATTGTACCATATTGTAGAAAAAGGCCCCCGGGCCTTGTTGCTCAGGTCCAGGACCATACCAAACATATTTTTCTCGTAAACACATCATGTAAAACTTCGAACGTTCCGATGTCCACCTCAATTTCTCATGTTTTCCATATTCTACTACCGAGGGTACTTAGTATCCCTAAAACCTACGTATCCCAATACAACCCTAAATGACCTCTTATATCCCTATATACCCATGTCCATTAGCAGCCCTAGCAGGTCTTGGATCACACCAAGCATATCTTGGTTATCTGCCCTCTCTACGTGGCCTTTGACTGCATGTGCACGGCTCCTCTGTCAGCAGCTTGTGGAAGCTTCGGGAGGGTTGAGTCCTTAGGGAGAACGGCTTTGAGTTTTGATGGTCTCACGCGGATCTTAGGTTGTTGAAGTTTACGCCTATGGTTTCTTCGTGAGCTGTAGCATACAGCCCCCCAAGGCACGGAGCCAGCAAAAAGAGACACGACCGTTCACTGCCTTCGTGTTCCGTGCTAAACGCACGCTTTTCTAAAGAATGCAGATAGAAGGCAAACAAGTCGAGAAATTCCTGCCAGGACGCCCGGGCTTCCAACGATTAGCTATTGTGTACTTGGACTTGGGCGTCCTAAGCCGAATCACCCACAGATTTGTGCTGATGGCTGGTTTCCAGAATTCTGTCATTTGGGTGGTAAGGGCGTATAGTAACTGTGGCATGAGGCTCGAGGCCTGAACTAGCAAGCCGGTGATCGTCATTTTGCATGTAATTGATATTGCAATATGGGTTCATATGACGTTTCTCGGCTCTACATCCTTCATATAGACCTCATAGCAGATCCCCAAAAGGAAGCCCTTTTGTTAGGCACCCATCTGCTTTGTTGCCAATATAGTCATCACTCACAACAGAACCTGACCAGCTCATGGCTGGAACCCAAAAAAGAAGAAGTCCCCAATGTCTGGGTTGCTTTTAAGGGCCTTAGTCTAAGATACCCTAGTGGCTATATTTAGTACTAAATATGGCTTCCCCAATATAGTAATTTGAAATACGTTCCTTAACAGCAACCCAGATGTTCGCACCTCGTGTGAGGTTTCGGTATTCCCTTACTGGCAAGAATCCTTAGGGGATCTGAAGGCTTCCAGCAGGGAGCCATAACTTCTGGCTGATACCTACATAGACAGGTTACGAACGGCGCCTTGAAGGGCTGCGGTCGCCGGCAACTTAGAGGGTTGTAGGGCTCTAGGGGGACGCCATGATAGTGTCAAGTAGCTCATAGATATAATTAAAGTCGTTCGCGCTGCTGTTCTGACCCTCTTCGCGCTCTGCGAAGGATGGCTGTGTAGGCTAAAGTACCTTCTTCTTGCATATTTGGCAGAGGCCTAAGCCAGAGAGCTTCATCTACTTGGAGCCCGAATCCGAAACCCGACGATCGGTGGTGCTCAAATCTCGCGTAAGTGCTTATTTGGCTGTAGGTGCCGTTTTTGCCGCAGAAATTTGCAGGGATGATCTTGAGAAGTATGCAAGCACCAAGATACACAAGACACCCATAGCTTTTTTTCACGTGAAACAGCAACATTGCTTCCCCTAGCCCTTCTTCATCTTGTATGGATATGTCTCAAAGGCACCGGAACTTGGCTTCATAACCCAAAGGTAGCCTCTCCTGAAGGATCCAAACCCCACACAGCCCGAGCTCCTCAAAATACCCACTGAGCTGAGACCAGGCAACCCTTAGCCCTGAGCCCAAAAATCAACGAAAAATCCGTAATAGTTCCCGAATGCTTTACATGCCTTCGAACGCAAGACAGCCTAACCCAGATTTTTTGAGAAAGCCATGCCCAACGCCCAAAACCCTCTTGAATGCTCTTGCCCTACATGTGGTTACGGTTCAGGCACGTGACCCACCCCAAGCCCTCAACCCCACGCCTGGAAAGCTCTTCCATAATCCCTACATCCTGAACCCCATAAACTCTAAATGGTAGTTTCCTATAATTGTCACCCCAAATAAAGACCTCAAAGTCGTATAATCCTTACTATAGCACAGGGAACCCCCAAAATGGCACCCCCAAGTTTTGGGAAACTCCCCAAATTGCTGTGAAGGCCAGCTGCTCCTGGCCCCAGTCGTGCCTGGTCTGGATTGCTAGAATCTTTTAGGGTGGGGGATGATGGCTTCAAGTGTGGGCTGCGTACCGGCAGCTGCATCAATTTGACTTCACAAGTTTCAGCTGAGGGTGTGGGGCTTCAGTGAAGGCCTCAGGTGCAGGCTGTATTTTCAGCGACAGGGCTCAGGGGTTTCAAAGTGCTTGCCGGCTTCATGGAACGCTCATGGACTAGCGACTTCTCGGGGAAGAAGCGCGTGCAATTTTGAGTTTCTGGCTGAAGTAGCATGTTGAAAAAATACCTGAAATGTTGGGGTTTTGCAAGGGTAGCGTAAACTGAAGCTTTCGCTTAGTTGGGCAAGCTGGATATTGGAGCATGGCTTGTTCAATGAGTCAAGGTTCGGAGTTAGAGCAATGTGCGTTTTGACAGCAGCCGCTTGCTTTGCTGATGACCCAGTCATAGCTGTACTGCACGCACATTCTAAGCCCCCGTCACAGGGGTATAGTTATAGTTGGGCTATCATTCCCCAGACCCCCGAAGTCCCCAAGGCTTTGAAACGACGTGCCCAGGCACGACACCCTTCCGAAGCTTGCCTGACTTCTAGCGAATCCTTGGTGGTAATTGTCGCACAATTCATTCTCAGCTTGACTAAAAGTGGAACAGAAGCAGACTTAGTGGCATGGGGCCAAAACTCCTTGGAAGAGCCATTCTGGCTAAGAACAGGTGCTTGCCTCCTATTTCCTGATCGGCCTCCCTTCTGCATGGCTATTTGCTTGGCCAGGCAGCCTGGCAGTAATTTCCCAGTTCAGGAAGGAAAGGTACAAGTCCAGGTTTGGGCTTTCCTGATTCGGGGAATGTAGGGTAATCAGGGCTTAGGGAATTTTGTCGTATAGGGCGCAGGGTTGCGAGCTGCATGGTTCTGACGTGTTGGATGCAGGTCTGTGTGGCTTTGTTCTTGGTATGGGGGATCCACCTTTCGGGCTTTGAGTTGGCAACATATTTGCAGGGCGCCGGAAAGACAGGCCACAAGAGTTCCTGCAATCGGACCTCTACTGAGAATCTTAGTAAGAACGGTTGACGCGATCTAATAATAATCATAAAAATAATCAGAACATTAACCCTATATAACCCGATTATAAACCCTATAATCCCCTATATATTCTGACACAAATGTCCTTCACACTTGCATCGTGACACGTGGTTTGGTTATGCCTTGTTCAGGTGAATTGCGGTGACAGCTATAAAGTAGCACCACTGCATGCACAAACTTCAATTAGCTGTGTGAAAGGCGCGTTGCTGGCTTTACAATCTTTTAAGGTTGGGTATGTTAGGAGCTGTAGCCCACTATGTCAACATGCAGGTCTCGAACACGTCGCTTGCTCCAAGCCCTGAAGTACCACTGACTGAATGCAGTGAGCATTGCGTAAGAGCGCTCACTTTAACACAGCTTTCGGTCCTGAACCCTGCAATCCCCAAGGGTCCATGTATCTACTTATCATAGACTTAGGCCCTAAAGCAGTTCTATGGGACCCCGTCAGGGCTTTTATATACTTTGTACCCACATTGACCCTATGGGAATGCTGAGGCCACATGAGTGCGAAGGGCCTAGCGCTTGGGTCCTCCGTCGGCACTTTCACGCACTGTGTTGCTGTGTCCGCGCGCGGCTCAGTTGTCCTGCAGTGTGGCCTTCGCCACGTACTGTTGTTGCAAACGGCGCGGGAGTACATTGCTTATGCTTTAGGGGTGCAAGGAACGGGCTTGTACATTCGCAGAGTAAGCTAACAGGATCTTAAGATTTAAGTGGATCCTAACATGAATGAGGGGGCCTGAGGCCTTTGCGTGCGCAGGGCCCAAGCAAACCTAGATCGAATCACAGGCGGAGACACGACCCGCAAACCTTTTGACCGACGGCCAAAACTGCGGGTGACATTGTCATAGATAACCCATTGTAGTAGTTTCCATTTTCTTTTCCATTATCCCAATATAATCCCAGTATATTCCCTATATCCCCTATATACACCCTATATANNTTTTCCATTACCCCAATATAACCAGGAAGGGTCGCACATTTTGCGTACTCTTCTTCGAAGCTGTGCACTCGGCAACTAGGACCTTGTAAACTTTTTCATAACAGCTTTCAGAGCTTCTTTCAGGTGACCCAGTAGCCTTTGGAACTCCAAGGTCATCCTGTGGACTACCAACTGGGTTCTCATGTCAAGAACCTGGGTTGCTGTTAAGG